TAGTGGTAACGGGGTAGCGAGGCAATGACAATGGCAATGGCAACGGTAATGGTACTGGTAATGGCAATGGCAATGGCAATGACAATGGCAATGACAATGGCAATGGCAATGGCAATGGTAATGGCCATGGCAATGGTAATGGTAATGGTAAGGGTAGAGGTAAAGGTAGAGTTAAAGGTAATGGTAATGGTAATGGTAATGGTAATGGTACTGGCAATGGCAGTGGCAATGGTAATGGTAATGGTAATGGTAATGGAAGTGGGAATGGGAACGGGAACGGGAATGGAAATGATAGTGGTAGTGGTAATGGTAATGGCACTGGTAATGGTAATGGTAATGGTTCTGGAAATTGTAATAGTATTGGGAATGGGATTGAGAATGGGAATTATAATGGTAATGGCAGCGGTAGTATCATGGTAATGGGAATTGGAGTGGAAATGGTACTGGCAATGGTAATGGTAGTGACGAATGGCAATGGCAATGGTGATGGTAATGGTAATGGTAATGACAAAGGTAATGATAATGGTACTGGTGATGGCAACGGTAATGGTAATGGTAAGGGGGTAGCGATTGGCAATGGCAATGACAATGGCAACGGTAATGGTAATGACAATGGCAATGAGATTGGCAATGGCAATGACAATGATAATGGCCATGGCAATGGCAATGGTAAATGTAATGATAATGGCAATGGTAATGGGAATGGGAACGGGAATGTGAATGGGAATAGGAACAAGAACGGGAATGGAAATGGTAGTGGTAGTGGTAACGGAAATGGGAATGATAAGGGTAAGGGTAAAGGTAAAGGTAGAGGTAAAGGTAATGGTAATGGAAATGATAGTGATAATGGTAATGGTAATGGTAATGGTAATGGTAATGGTAATGGTCATGAGAATGGGAATGGCAATGGAAATGGTACTGGCAATGGTAATGGTAGTGGCGAATGGCAATGGCAATGGCAATGGTAATGGTAATGGCAATGACAATGGTAATGATAATGGTACTGGTAATGGTAACGGTAATGATGGTGGTAACGGGGTGGCGACTGGCAATGGCAATGACAATGACAACGGCAACGGTAATGGCAATGGCAATGGCAATGGCAATGGCAATGGGGATGGCAATGGGGATGGCAATGGGAATGGTAATGGCCATGGCAATGGCAATGGCAATGGTAATGGTAATGGCAATGGTAATGTGAATGGGAATGGGAACGGGAATGGGAATGTGAATGGGAATGGGAATAGGAACGGGCATGGAAATGGCAGTGGTAGTGGTAACGGAAATGGGAATGGTAAGGGTAAGGGTAAAGGTAAAGGTAGAGGTAAAGGTAATGGTAATGATAATGGCAATGGCAGTTGTAATGGTAATGGTAATGGTAATGGTATTGGGAATGGGAATGTTAATCGGAATGGTAATGGTACTGGCAACGGTAATGGTAGTGGCGAAGGGCAATGGCAATGGATATGGTAATGGTAATGGTAGTGGCGAATGGCAATGGTAATGGTAGTGGCGAATGGCAATGGCAATGGCAATGGTAATGGTAATGGCAATGACAGTGGTAATGATAATGGTACTGGGAATGGTAATGGTGACGATAACGGTAATGGTAATGGTTATGGCAATGATAACGGGGTAGCGATTGGCAATGATAATGGGAATGGCAACGGCAACGGCAATGGCAATAGCAATGGCCATGGCAATGGTAATGGTCATGGTCATGGTCATGGTCATGGTCATGGTAATGGTAATGGTAATGGTAATGGTAATGGTAATGGTAATGGGAATCGTAGTAGTAATTGGAACGGGAACGGGAATGGAAATGGTAGTGGTAGTGGGAAAGATAATGGCAATGGTAATGGAAATGGTACTGGTAACGGTAATGGTAATGGCAATGATGATGGGAATGGGAATTGTAATGGTGATGGCATCGGTAATGGTAATGGTAATGGCAATTGTGTTGGTAATGCTAATGATAATGGCAATGGTAATGGTGGTGGCGAATGGTAATGGTAATGGGAATGGTAATGGTAATGGTAACGGTAATGGTAACGGGGTGGCTACTGGCAATGGCAATTCCATGGCAATGGCAACGGCACTGGCAATGGCAATGGCAATGATAATGGCAATTGTAATGGCAATGGTAATGGCACTGGCAATTGTAATGGCAATGGTAATGGTAATGGTAATGGTACAGGTAAAGGTAAAGATAAAGGTAAAGGTAATGGTAATGGTAGCGGTAATGTGAATGGGAATGGGAATTGGGATGGGAATGGTAATGGTAATGGTATTGGGAATGGGAACGGAATGGGAATGGGAGTGGGAGAGATTGAGAGAGAGAGAGAGAGAAAACGAGAAAGGAAACATCAGCATAATGATGAGGAACAAAGTGAAATATCGTAAATTTTCGTCTAAAACCCACAGCGACTCCACAATCCCCCGGCCTCAGAAAAGCACGGTCGCCCAGACGAGCCCATCGGGGGCTTCCACGAGGGGGAGTCGCACATCATGGGCCGAGGCATGTGCGCAGACGGGGGGGGACCAGATGTCGCATTGAAACAACGGGGCCATGATATCTGGGAGATATCGTGGCCCACGCCATGGTATCCACCCCTCCCGCTCGCCGACGCCCCCGAGCCACTGCCACACGGCCAGCATGCAAGCGGGACGGCCTGGCGAGCCGCTGACGCGGCCGCCGCAACCCAGGTTGGCAACTATCGTACTGCGCCGCAAAATCTGTGGAGGGCAACTCTCAGATTCCATCGCGATGTCCCTCGCGACCGCAAAGACATCTGGCAACAACCATACGAGCCCATCCAAGGCGTGCGAGGAGCACGCCGTTCCGCGAGTGCACCGCTCGACAAACTCCCACAATCTATCCAGCGACACAGGCAGCATGGGAAAAACCGACGAAGATGCTGAAGAAGAGGACGGTCCTGCAGTGCGTCTGGCTGCCTGCTCTGGGCTTTCTGTGGCCTGTGGGCTGCCATATTGTCTTCAGCGACAGTCGCCAGAAGGGCAATGTTCTACACTAGGGGAACAAAACGTGACGTAAACATAAAAACTCGGAGGTCTGCGCGGATTTCTCGGATCGGCGCTGGAACCCCCTCCGTGGCGCGCGGAGCGCGCCAGGGGCGGCGCCAGAGGCGCCGCCGGGGGGCCCCAACGCCGATCCGAGAAATCCGCGCGGACCTCCGAGATGTTATGTTTATGTCATTGTTCGTTCCCCTAAATGTTCTACACGCTGCAGGTGAGGTCCAGGGTGAAGCCAGACCCTGTCGATGGGCGGCACTCACAGAGAGGGGGTGACGCGGGAGGGGGGGGCCGCCCGCCCCAGAAGGCGGGGGGGGGCCTCTACGAAGGCAGGGGGGCTTCGTTGGAGGCCTCCTCCATGGGGTCCGAGCAGACGGGGTCGGAGGATCGCGCCGCGTCGACGATGCCTCGACGAATGCATCGACGAGCATCGGCGACGTCAGCGATGCGTCGGCAACGGTGGCGCGGAGAAACTCGGGCTCCGTATCGAGCCGCGCCGCCGCGCAGCAGCGACGCAGCGCGATCCTCCGATCCCATCTACCCCGACCCCATTTTGGAGGCCTAGACTCTGAGATGCTCCCCCCGGTGTCCAAGAAGCCTCCTGGGAAGCACCCAGGCGCTCCTAAGAAGGCCCACCACTCCCGAGAGGACCCCCCCCACTCCGCCTCCGCAGGAGCCCACCCCCCTCCCTGCGCCACCCCCCTTCCGCGCGCCGCCAGGCAGAGCGCGCCCGTGGGCTGCCGTAGAGACCAGCGGTCGGTCCTCCCGCGTCCACCCCGTCCAGGCTCGCCGACGCCCCCGAGCCTCTGCCACACGGCCAGCATGCAAGCGGGACGGCCTGGCGAGCCGCTGACGCGGCCGCCGCAACCCAGGTTGCCAACCATCATGCTGCGCCGCAAAATCTGTGGAGGGCAACTCTCAGATTCCATCGCGATGTCCCTCGCGACCGCCAAAACATCTGGCAACAACCATCCGCGTCTCCCCGTCCAGGCGCGCCACCAGCGAGCACCCAGAGACGGCAACGACGTGCGAGGCGGTGCAAGCTGCTCGCGCTGGGGGCCAGCTGCTCCTCTGCCGCCACCGCAGCGACACCCACGGCGTGCACAGCTCCGTCGAGGGCACTGTGGCCGAGCTCTCCAAGCAGTTCGTCCAGGCCGGGGTGGAGCACGACGCGCATCAACATCGTTAGACCTGTCCCCATCCCCACTGGCAAAGCCTTGGCGCCGCTGTCCGGCCCATCCCTCCAGATTGGGACAAATGTCGTCTCCGTCGCGTTTCGTGGCACCCACCCCCCCGCCTAGAGGGGGGTAGGCTGATGGCGCACTGGGGATGGGAATAGGTCTGACGATGCCGAGTGCAGGAAGTAAATGTCGTCGTGCACCGTCACTGAGATGGCCAAGCTGGTTGTTACTGTTCATTCTGGGGCGCCAGGCAACTTCTGCAGAAGAAGAAACGGCAAGACATGCATATTCGGAGATCCTCGCGAATTTCTTGGGTCCGTGCTGACACCCGTCCCTGGCGCGCGGAGCGCGCCAGAGGCGCCGCCGTGGGGGGGCACCAGGAGAGGCCCAGCGCAGACCCAACAAAAAAATCGCGCGGACCTCCAAAAGCTTATGCTTGTGCCGACGTTCTGCGGCAACTCATGGGAGTATCCCATGCCATCTCGCTTGCTCTTGCAAATCGATGCTAAATCGAAGCTCATCGGCGCTAAGCTGGCGCCATCTTATCGAGCACCAGACGCTAGCCGACGCGAATTGCACTCCGGAGGCAGAACTGCGAGGCCACACCAGGCTCCCATGATTTGCTACCGACCCGATGTCGCCGCTCTCCGATCTTCACTCCAGGTCGCCGAGCAGCTTCTGGGACACCCCCGCCGCCAAAGCCAGCTCCCGGGCCAGCCGCCGGTCGGAGCTGCGCGCGCACGCCCGCGCCAGCTCGAGGGGCCGCTGCCGAGCGCCCTGCCCGAG